ATGGCCCCGTTTGGCCCAGACCCCCAGAGCTTATATCTCGCCAATCCGCCTTTGTCGGGGCCTTTGTTTGCGTGAGCAAATTTTCTCGTATGAGGCTTGCCTGAGGGTTTCTGGCCTGTCTTGCGAAGAGAGTTGCTTGTTGCTGGCCCAACGACAGCCCGGTTCCTCGCGACTTGGGCGCCGTATTCTCGCCTGTTCTACGCGCGATGCTCCTGGTAGTGCTAATGCGAGCGCTGTTTTTTCCAATGCCCGCTACAAGCAGATTGACGTTCGCCTGCAAGCGTGCGAATCTAACTAGATTGAAGACGCGACGCCCCTCTCCGCTGTAATTCCAAAACCGGAACAAGATGGCGCAACGCTGGCATCTCCTTTGGATGGCTGCAGCTCCTTCCTAGAAGTGGTCAGCCCTTGATGGCCGCATCTTCTTTGGATGGCCGCAATTCCTTGATGGCCGCTGAACCGAGTGGCCCTCACCGCTTGAACTGCAGGTATGTGGACCGAACTCCAACAACCATGATGATTCCTGCGAGACCTCCACCAAAGAGATTGGCTGTCATGTTGCCGCTCATTCTCTTGTTCCTCTCCTCAGTGTAGTCAAGCGCGCCCTTCAATTTGAATGTTGCGGCGAACGCTGTGCAAATGCTAGTGGCCAGCGGGAAGACGTAACCCGCAAGGAAAAATTCACCGACAAAGAACGGCAAGGTCTCGTTAAAGTTCTGCAAGGCTCTCTGCGCTCGGTTGAATTGGCCATAGAGTTCATGACTGTCGTCCATGAGGACTGGAGCACCATCGGCAACACCACCCACGACTTTGTAGACATGCTGGTCTGGAACGTTCACCCCAGTAGCGCGGCGAGCAGTACCAAGATTGGCGCCAATCGAAGTTGTTGCATACTTCAGGAACACCCACGCAAGGTACATTGGTCCAGCATTCGCGGCAGCAATGTTAGACACCTTGGCAACTGGGGCGTCTGATTTCGCCACGAATAGGGAATAGTACGCCCCGATGATACCAGGCAGCGCAAACACTGTTTGGAAAGCTGGGTAGACGATGAACAAGTTTGCATCCCCCATGCCCATTTTCTTATAGTCAGACTCTCCCAGAGGGGTTTTGCCACTGTCGCGCGCCATATGAGCAGGTATGCCAACGCAAGCGATCTTCAACTAATCGGAGATGATCTTGAACCCAAGCGGCTACGGATAATGCAAATGTTGTGCTAATGCATATGCCTGACTATAGTTTATCTGTGATGAGCAGTGGTAAGCTATGGTCGGGAGCTTTTGCTTACCGTGGCGTGGCAGCGGTCCTGGCGACACGCCATGCCATGCAAGCGGATAGCGTGTCGCTCCGCTTTGCGGGGCTGGAGGCTGGGAAAGGCTCGGGACGCTGACGCCTGGAGAATTGGACGTGGGTAGCGTGTCGCGCCGCAGCGTGGTGGCCCGGTTTCGGCGGCTTGACATGCTAAGCAGGCGTTCCCGACCGTATGCTATGCGAGTGCTCTCGCTACGCCATGCCATGCTATTGTCAGGCGGTGCTGCTGCTAGGCTGTGCTTCGCCGTGCTGTTGAACTTACCCCATTAGGGTGAAGGGGCCCTGGGACACACAAATAAATACTCACAAATCAACATATTCCCAATATTTTCCTATATTTTCTGGGTTTCGGTCTTCCCCCCCGCTTCCCATATTTTCCTATATTTTCTGGGGGATCGACGATTCATTGTGTCTGTGTGCTTTTTCCCTCCTGAACTTACCCCTATCAGGGAGCATGCTCCTCATTGGGACCGTGCCACGATGTCTTGACGGTCCGCGGGTCCGAAAGCGGCCTCTGGACGATGAGGACGGCGAACAACCTCCACTGCAAGTAGCAGCGCTGCAAATCAATGGCGGCGTCAGCGTTGTACGGCAGGGTAAGGCGACTGGACAAACTAGCGAATGGGACAAAGCAGCGGTGTGAAGGAGACTCCACCAAGCAACAAGGAGCTAAGGAAAGACGGAGAGGCAGAGATACTGCGGCATACGTATCAGCTTTCGAAGGTCCACGCAGATCTCTAGGCGCCATCAAAGGGGTCTGGCGCCGATGCAAAACATCAGCCGGAAGTGACCCTTTGTCGACGACTCGCCTGGCGCGGTCCACCAACGGCATCGCCAGGTGGAACTGACGACGAACGCGCTCCGCGTCAGCTCTCGCTGCGGTGACGTCACTCGGCCGCTGGAGGCGAGCATGCTGACGGCCCAGAGCTTCTCCTGCTCAGCGTGTCATGGCGGCGGCCTCGGCGACGCGCTGCGCCCTGATGGCGTGTCGCTCCGCTCTGCGGGGCGGGAGGCTGGGAACAGCTCGGGGCGTAGACGCTTGGAGACTGGGACGTGCTCAGCGTGTCGCGGCGAAGCCTGGTGGGCCAGAACTGGCGGGGCGGCACGCTGAGAAGGCGCTCCCGGCCGTGTGCTGAGCGAGTGCTCCTGCTGTGCGAGCCCATGCTGCTGCTGCTGCTGCTGTGCGGTGCTGTTGCTATGGTGTGCCTCGCAGTGCTATGAGCTTGCCCAAATCAGGGAGACTCCTCCTCCTAATCTGGGCCGCGCCATGACGTCTTGACGGTCTGCGGGTCCGGAAGCTGCCCCTGGACGCCGAACACGGCGAACGACCTCCAGTGCAAGCAATGCGCTACAGACCAGCTGTCATGCCAGCTCTTTACGGCTATGCGGTGCTGTTGCTATGCTGTGCTGCGCCGTGCTGCTGAACTCGATGGGGAAACAATATGACGCGTCGGAGGGGCGGGCGGCAGGTCCTCCGGGAAGAGGTCGAGGAAACGCTCGCGGAGCGGCCCGCGCAGATGGTCCCTCGTCTGCAGCGCCGCAGACCTGGGAGGCGTCAGGGGAACGACAAGATGGGAAGTCCTCCTCCTCGTCGTCGTCGTCGTCGTCCTCCTACTCCTTCATCTCCGCCTCCTCCGCCTCCTCCCCGTCTCCTCCCCGTTTCCTCCTCGTCTCCTCCTCCTCCTCCTTCTCATACTCCTCTTCCATATCCTTTTCCTCCTCCTCCTCCTCCTCCATTTCCTTTTCCTCCTCCTCCTCCTCCTTCTTCCTCCTCCTCCTCCTCCTCCTCCTCATCATCATCATCCTCTTACTTCCCCTCCTCCTCCTCCTCCTCCTCCTCCTCCTCCTCCTCCTTTTTCTCCTCCTTCTCCTCCTCCTCCTCCTCCTCCTCCCTCCTCCGCCTCCTCCTGTTGCTCCTCCCCCACCTCCTCCTCCTCCTCCTCCTCCTCCTCCCTCCTCCTCCTCCTCCTCCTCCTCCTCCCCCTACTCCTCCTCCGCCTCCTCCTACTCCTACTACCTACTCCTACTCCTCCTTCTCCTTCTCCTCCTCGCCCTCCTCCTCCTCCTCCTCCTCCTCCTCCACCTCCTCCTCCCCCTCTTCAATATCCTCCTCCTCCTCCTCCTCCTCCTCTCCTCCTCCTACTTATCCTTCTCCTGCTCTTGCTCCTCCTCCTCCTCCTCCTCCTCTCCTCTCTCCTCCTCCTCCTCCTCTTCCTCCTCCTCCTTATCCTCCTCCTTATCCTCCTCCCTCCTCCCTCCTCCCTCCTCCTCCTCCCTCCTCCCTCCTCCTCCTCCTCCTCCTCCTCCTCCTCCTCCACCCTCCTCCCTCCTCCTCCTCACTCCTCCCTCCTCCCTCCTCCCTCCTCTTTCCTCCTCCTCCTCCCTCCTCCCCCTCAAGCAACTTGGGCTCAAGCATTTTTGCCTGAGCCCAGCCTCTGGGCTTCCTCGCTGCGCTTGAGGGACCTTGTTTCTTCGCCAGAGCCAGAGGCGAACAGACACTGACTAACACAGAGGCATCATGGCAGGTGTGAAAGAGCGTGTTCTACCGCTGCTGGCGGAAAACCGGGGGGGGTCACTACCGGTTCGAACCCCTCCCCCCCCCCCCTGGAAAACCGGGGGGGTCACTACCGGTTCGAACCCCTCCCCCCCCCCCAGTTCATCATGAAAAGGGGGGGGGTCACTACCGGTTCGACCCCCCCCCCCTCGAAAACCGAGTGGGGGTGCGGACAGTGATGGGGACGGTGTTGGTGGGGACAGTGGTGAGGGGACGGCGGGACAGTGGTGGGGACAGTGTGACAGTGTGACAGTGGTGGGGACGGTAGTGGTGGGGACAGTGGTGGGGACAATGGTGGGAACAGGGGGGGACAGTGGACAGTGGTGGGGACGGTGGTGGTGGGGACAGTGGTGTGGGGACAGTGGGAATGAGGTGGAAACAGCGGGACAGTGGAGGGTACAATGGTGGTGGGGACAGTGGTAGAGGCGGTGGCGAGGACGGCGGTGGGACAATGGGACACAGGTACAGTGGGGACAGTGGTGGGGACAGTGGGGACAGTGGTGGGAACAGTGGGACAGCTCAGTGGGACAGCGGAGGAGTCAGTGGGACAGTGGGGACAGTGGGGATAGGCAGTGGTTGGGTCCGTGGACACAGTGGGGAGAGTGGAACCGTGGTGGGAACAGTGGCGGGAACAGAGGGGACAGTGCGACAATGGTGGGGGCACTGGTGGGGACAATAGGGACGGTGGTGGAACCAGTGCGGACAGTGGTGGTGAGGACAGTGGTGCTGGGAACAACAGTGGGGGATGTGATGCGAGCGGTGTTAGGGACCGGGAGTCGTTTGCTGGCGGTGCGTGGGGGGGGGGTCGAACCGGTAGTGACCCCCCTCCGGTTTTCGAGGGGGGGGGGGGGGTTCCAACTGGTAGTGACCCCCCCCGGTTTTCCGGATCCGGAGGGGGGGGGGGGAGGGGTTCGAACCGGTAGTGACCCCCCCCGGTTTTTCGGGGGGGGGGGGGGGGGGGGGTTAGGGGGAGGGGGGGGTTTTGCCGGGGGGAAGGGGGGGGGGGGGGTCCAGCAGGGGGGGGGGGGGGATTTTCGGAGGGGGGGGGGGGGGGGGGGGCCCGGGTTCCGGAGGAAAAGGTTGGCAATTTTCCATAGTAAAGCGGCGGTGGATCACGCTCTCTCGCAGGTGTTGACAAGCTGTGGAACAAGTGCAGCCGGTGCCAGACGTGCGAATGGAATGCAGTTCAATTACGCCGCCAGCTGGCTTGCAACATGTGTGGCTCCACTGTAGAATTGTATCGTGGCAGGGAGCGTGGAGTTCGGTTTGCATCGGCAGAGAGTGACGACGAGCACTTCTACGATGCGACCAGTGATAGTGAGGACGAAGGTGCGAAGCTCCGCAAGCCTGTTCCCCCTGGCATCCTCAAGAAGGGTAACCTCGGGGGCGGCAAGGGCGGCAAGGGCTTGTCGGTGCGCGGGCTGCTTTCGCAGGCGGTGGAGGCAGCCAAGGGCGACGACGAGCTGAGGCGCGACCTCGAGAGCCAGCTGGCGAAGCTGGAGCAGGCAGAGCAGAGCAGCAAGGTGCAGCAGCTGTCCCCGTCCGAGGCTCACCGCCGCGCGGGCGGGGTATGGCGCAACGCGGAGCACGTGCGCGAGCAGGCGGTCGCCGACGTCGTCCGCCTCCGCAGCAACCTGGCGGCTGCGGAGGCGAAGGAGCAGGCGGCGGCACGCTCCCTGGCCGAGGCGGCAGACGCCAAGAGGGCCGCCGCCACCGCCCTTGCGTGGGCAGAGGGCGCGCAGCCCTGCGCGGCGGCCGCGCCGGGCGAGCGGGAGAAGAAGATGATCAACGTGGAATGGGACGATGGCTTCTTCTCCAACCTCGACGAGCTCGAGGCCACGGAAGGGGAGAAGAAGGCCCTTGAGGTGTTGAAGGGCCAGATGCAGCAGGTCAAGTCACACCTCGAAGGGAAAGAAGCTGAGATCCAGGCCTGGCTGACCAAGATGGCAGAGCACAAGAAGACCATCTCGGAGCGGCTGGCCAAGAAGAGGAAGTCCAACGAGGGCGGCGCGCAGGCCCAGGCCACGGAGGCCTCGGGCGGGGCTGCGGGTACCGCAGCGGGCGTTGGCCCGCCGCCCCCTGCCGCAGCTCCTGGGCCCGCGCCCCCTGGGAGCAGCGGCGCGCCCGAGGCCAAGGCCGAGGCCGACGCGGCCCGTGAGGAGGCCATGAAGACCGAGGCCAACAGGCTGTCGGAGGCGAAGTTCAAGGCCGCGGAGCTGAAGAGCAAAGCGGCGGGCAAAGGGTCTGCGGCGACGGCGGTGCCGACCAGCGCGGACTCGCCCACCAAGCATTGACGCGAAGGGGCCCCTCGGACCGTGACCGAGGGGACGTCAGAGGACAGCGGCAGACGGGACACCGTGATCTTTTATGCCAACGTCACCAGCCTGACGGACAAAGCATGGAAATTCATTGCGGCCAAGCCAACAGCGTTTGACCATTGGGCAATAGTTGAACCGCACATTCACATGGGATCAGAGCTCAACAAGCTGGCTAAATATGCGAAGAAGCTCAACCTTCGCACAGCGGTCAACCCTGTCAGACGCTCGCAGCGGCCTGCCTCGATATCCAACGAGCCGAAGGCCAGCGAGGGCGGCGAGGTGTGGTTCAGCCAGAAGCATCTGGAGTGCGGTGTCTTGGGTGAGGCTCGCGCAGCGGCGAAGCACCTACGAGCACCAGGTTCGAGTTCACTACATGGCTTTCTCTCAATGCTGCCCCAGCAGCAAGGCTACGCCATCCTGGTCATAGCGTTGTACGCGTACCCGAGTATTTGCATGTCGGGACGCAATCGCGAACGGTTTCGCAAGTTGGGTGGCCTCCTGAGCTCAATGCGCATGCCTTGGGTGTGCATCGGGGACTACAACATGCCGCCAGCCACGTTGGGGAAGTCCAAATTTCTGGAGCGTGTCGGGGGAGCAATTATCAGAACGGCTGATGTTGTGGGCACGTGCGCCAAAAAGTCAGGGGAGGACAGCATGCTTGATTACGTTGTAATGAGCCCGTCGGCTGTCTCGTCAGTGAAGGAAGTGAAACCAATTAGGGATGTGCCGTGGAGGCCCCATATAGGCTTAGCCATCACTTTACGTGCGTCTGGTCAGCAATTGCAGACTCGTGAGCTTGAGCTGCCGTGCCGCCTGCCTCAGCCTCCGAGACCTCGCGTGGAACCTACAGCTGGGTCCAAGCCGAGTGCTGCGAGGACTAAACAGATAGTTGCGAGGCACGCGGCCCATGAGACGCGAGTCGAGTTTTTCGAAAAGCAGTTCGGGGACTGCCTTCCGGACCACCCTGGGCACCAGGACCCCGCTGGTCAGCTGCATCAGCAGGAACCTGAGGAGGACCTGGATCCCGAGTTTCTGTTTCACCCTTAGTTTGAAGAGGACCACTGGGCCAACGAGCTCACTTTCTGTAGCGATGTACGGCTGCCCAGCGTTCTCGAGCCTCTGGAAGAGCCGTCGGGTAAGGTCCCTCTGGAGCTCCAGCAGGCGGGAGAAAAAGGGCATGTAGGTACTCAGAGTCGAAATTACAATAATTCGGAGGTGTGCGAAGCCCAGTCCCCCCCCCTCGGATTCCCCAAGTAATCAGCAGCAGCAGCTTGCCACCAGCCAGGGCCCTGAAGCCAAGCCTGAGCCCTCTTTTGAAGTGCCCGTGGAGACGCGGGCCGAAAGTAGGAGCCAGGTTGGATTTCAATCAGGAGCGTCTGTGGTGGCTGCGACCCCCCCCCCGCCTTTCCTCCTCCGTAGCCTTTTCGCTCGAACCTCAGCATAGCAAACTTGTCTCTGGCATGCATGCTGGCTGGGCATCGTCCGTTGAGAAGGCCATTCGTATACATCATGACATCCAGGCCAGCCCTGGCGCCCCACGGTCAGAGGGGCCCAGGTTCGCCGAGCGCCCGCTGCGGACGACGGCGCACACACGCCAGTTGCCGCTCAGGGACCAACGTAGTCAATGGTGGACGCGGGTGCGCACAGTTCTAGCAGGGATATCGCGCCACCGTTCACGACAGAATGGAACGAGACAGCTAGAAGAGTATGCTAAGATTTGTGGCCAGTTGTGCGACGTGAGGCCGCCCAACGTTCATACGATTATCATGCCGGGGAAGGGGCCGCCTCTCGATCAGTGGATCAGCCTTCTCAAGGGCCCCCCGACGACGACAGCACCAATTTTTGGGATCCTTTGTTGACAGTTCGAAGAAGTTGCAAGCTCGTTCCCAGAGGGCGGCGGTGCGCGAATCAATGCGCGACTTCAATCAGTGGGTTACTGACGACCCCAACGCTAACGGCATACTACACAAGGCCTTGAAGCAGCAGCCGGCCCCGCCCCCCGACCTCAAGGTCGACGGCAAGGTGCTGATTCACCCGTCCCAGACTTTAGATCAGAAGGCGCTGGCTTTCAAAAAGTTGTGGGCTCACAAGGCGCCAGACTTGGGTGAAGTGCGTGAGGTCGTCCGCCTCATCCGAGGGGAAGCGCAATGGGATTCGCTACCAGAAGTTTCGGTTGAGCAGGTTTATCGGAGTGTGAGGGCTATGAAAGCCAAAGCTGGACTTGGAGTTGATATGATGAGCCCAGTTGGCGTTCCAAGATTACCTTGTGCCGCTATTCAGGAGCTGGTACTGCTGTGCCACAGTATCGAGCATGTCTTGGCCTGGCCAGTTCAAGTGCTCCTCGTGGTGGGTCATCTCGCCCCAAAGCGCTCGAGCGGAGACCGAGCCATCGGGATCATCCCCATGCTGGCCAGGGTGTGGTCTCACATCCGCGAAGCATTGGTTCGACAATGGTCAGCGGAGGAGGCCCAGGCATGGGACGCGGCGGCGGCAGGCAACTCTTGCCTCAAGGGGGCTTACCTCCGAGCAGTTGACGAGGAGCTGGCGTGCGCGATGGGGCTGCAGTTCGGCCACGCGCTGCTGGACGTGCAGGAGTTCTACGACGCGAGCCCATGGCTGCCGCTGGCGAAGGCGGCCCTCCGCCTCCGCTTCCCACCAGTCATCCTCTACCTCGAGCTGGTGATGCGCGTGGCCACGCGGACCCTCTCCCTGGAGGGGGCTGTGTCGGCGCCCTTCGAGCCATGCCAGAACGTGGTGCAGGGATTGAGGTCAGGGACACGGTTTGCCAGAGTGTTAACCCATTTTGTCATGCAGGCCGTGACGACGGCGACGCCGATGATGGCACATAGGGTTTGGACCGACGATATATCACAAAAGACGACGGGCTCACGCCAGTCGGTGAGGACCAACCTCACCAAGAGCGTGGTCAAGACAGGACGTGAGTTGAGTAAAGTTGGGCCCAAGCTTGCCAAGAAGTCTGTCATCATGTGCACCACCAGTCAAGATGCGCATATGGTCGCCGAGGCCATTAAGCTAAACGGGTTCGTGGTGAGAGTGGTTCAACAGGCAGCGTATCTTGGAGTGGATTTTTCGCGCGGGCGTGGAGGACGATCCACCCGTGCACAGAGACAGGAAAAACAGAAACGGATGAACGGCAAGATCGTTCGCTATTGTCGGGCAGGACGACGGTATCAACACTTATCGAAACTGGAGAAGAACGGAGGCCAGCCTGCGGGCACATCTGGTTTTCAAATCCATGGTATTTTTGGGGAACAGTTGAAGATATGTCGCCGCAGGTTGGGACAAACATGCGCAAGTGGAGTCCGCGGTCGGTGCTTGACGACCTTGCTGGACCTGGGAGCACCGTCCTGCGACCCTGGGGTCGCGTACCCAGTGCGATGCATCGACATGTGGATGAGCACGTGGCAATCCCAGCCTGACTTGCGGAAAAGCATCAAGTATGTGTGGCCGCGGATCGTGACCGAGATGCGCAGCAGGCCCACCAAGGATCAAGTTCGAGCTGTCAAGGGGCCCATCTCGGCCACAATCCTGACCTTGCTCAGGCTTGAGTGGGACCCAGTCAGCACCCCGGTGTGGCCCTACGCGTCACAGCACAACACGACTGAAGAGTGGCAGTTCCCAGATGAGATCTTCACGGGCAACAAATGGCTGGACAATCATCGAGGGCTTCTCACAGATGCGAAAAAGTCTGCAGAGCTTACCCAGTGGCGCCAAGCCGCTCGGCACTACTGTGGAGGGGGTATGGAGGACGGTGTGGACAATGAGTCGTTCCGACTCCTACTACACCAAGTCTCCCAGCTCCCTCACGGAGTGCGGCTGGCCGAAGACGAGGAAGCGTGAGGAGCTCAGGAGCTACCGCGGCAATGATGTTTGCGACCGTTGCCGAGAGCACCCGGAGACCACGTGCCACCGCTCGTGGAGTTGCTCCAAGAATGCTGGCGCCCCCCCCACGCACGGCGACTGAGGAGCTGGTGCCCCAGGCGCTGGCCCAGGTCAACACGGCGGAGTGCTTCTGGCTGGGGGGGCCTCATACCGTCCCAGTAGCTGGAGGTACCGAGGGCGCCGCACGACGATCAGTGGGAGTTCGTCGGGGTCAACGAGCTGACCCAGGGCGTCTTCGGCGAGGGATCGGCAACAACGCCGATGCAAATCTACGGCGACGCCAGCGGAGGAGCCGACTCGGCCATGACGAGGCTGATGGGAGTGGGTGTCGCGATCGTGTGCACGGAGGCGATTCTCCCAGAGCTGCGCATCACAGGGGCTGTCTTTGGCCCTCTGCAGGGCGATCGCCAAGTGGTGCCGAGGGGCGAGCTGATGGCGCTCTACCTAGCGATATGGACCACGGCCAGATATTTGACATACACCACCGACTGCGAGGCCGCGGCCCAGGGGTGGTACAAGAAGCGTTTCGAGCAGCCGACGGGTTTAGACGCGGACCCGTGGCAGAAGATAGGGGATCTCATGCAGGCGCGCTTCTTCTGTGACGTTGTGGTGCTTTGGACCAACGCACACCTTGGACCAGCAGAGATTGTGGATGGAAAAGGCGCACGCACGCTCGTCATAAGCAATACTCTGGCGGATGAGTTCGCGGGCTTCGCCGCGGAGAAGGCCCGCATACCGCAGGCCATTCGCACGCGTGTACTTTGTCACGAGCGCCGTGCCTTTCTCGTGCGTGTGAGATTGTTGAGAGCTGCACTGGACAGCATGCAGGCCACACTGGAGGCCGAGCGTGAGGACAAGCGGAAGCCTCGTGAGGCCCCTGCGGGCCCGCCTCCCCCTCCTCCCCCTCCTCCCGTACCTGCTGCTGCTGTTGCGGCCATTCAATCTCGTCACCGTCTGGCCGACAGCCAGAGGAAATGCCTTCGGTGCTTTGGCTCAGCTTCCGCCGACACTGGAAAGGAGTTCTGGGCGTCTGAATGCAATCCCCTTTATAATGTCAATGGGGTCATTTTCTCTCCTTGTAAGGGGGCGAGGGTACATGTAGCGGGGGGCTGGGCTCATACTACACACACCTTGAATGTGCATGCGTCGCTTCAGGTTTGGTTTTGTAGTGTGTGCGGGGCCGTCGCTGATAAGGTGATGCGCTCACTGAAGGCGCCATGTAAGCTTAGAATGTCCAAGCACGGAGGGGAATATCTTGACAGGATCCACAGGGGGTTACAGCCCAAGGTCCTGAGCCGAGCCGAGCAATCGGCTCGCTCGAGCGTCCGATCGAGGCCAGGCTAGGCGAAACCAAACTTGCATCGCAACGGGGTCCACTCCACTCCTCCCTCCTCCCTCCTCCCTCTTCTTTCCTCCCTCCT